ATTTGATGACTCAAATGCATTCCAAGCGTGCGGATGCATTTCAGGTGGTTTCGTAACAGCACAACTCAAATCTCGCAAATTGAACGCGCATTTAAAGAATGTTGTTAGTCTAAGTAAAAGATATTCATGAGCTTTTCATATATGTCCTAAATACAATATTCAAAGTTGTTGTATGTCCCTAAATCAAACTCCTAGACAATACGCTTGATAGAAAACAATTTGGTTGTTAAAGATTCCCTAATGAGATCCTTGCAACATGACTTCGGTTACAGATACTGCATATGCAAGAGCGCAACATATGTTTAGTAATAAAGATCAGTAAGAGCAAGAAGACCGCACTCACTCTGTGGGTGGAACACTTTGAAACTTGAGCGCCGAGCGAGGAGCAGGTTGCGGAATGACTCCTGTTGGTGAAGTGTCCATACCAGGCGCTGGCTTCTTCGAAAGGACAAGGGTAGCCGGTTGGTTCTTGAATTGCCACAATAAGTAGTAAATATTCATTGTTTCTTCGCATACCTGGTTTTGCCCATCGTGATGTATCACATGCCCATCGATGCTGCTTTTCTTCAGTTTCTGCGGTTTTGGGTGTGGGGTGTCATGCCGTTCAAACTGTCCGACTGGCAACTAAAGCAAAAAGCAAATTAAGTTTCAACATTAAATGACATCATAAGGTGCCACCTTGTCCTCGTCAATCGTAGCGTCTTGATCGGGAAAATGCACCTTCGGGCCGCCGACAAAAGTGCGGTTTTGACCGCTTCGATCTTAATTATATTGTTTAGAAAACAACAAGGCTAACTTTAAATTGCTTCCACTATTATTATTGAAGCATTGGCTTACCGTTTTGAGGATGCGCGCTCAGTTGTGGCAATAGATAACAGGAAAGCACTTTCACACCAGTACGGGGATCTCGTTCGACTTGCAGTTTCAACATAGCTTGAGACTGGAAAATGCAAGATGGGTATCAAGAAGATGCTACAAAAGTATACAATCGTGCATACCTGGTTCTCACTTAACCAAAGAGCTTGTAATTTGAACAGAACGTTGATGGTGAAAGGAAGATGGCTCAAGCGATTATTGCACAAGTCCAACACAGTCAACTTCTCACACTTTCCTATATCCATGGGTATTTCAGTGATTTCATTTTCTCGCAGGGACAGCACTGTTAATGACGAACAACCTCCAATCTGAAAAGGATCAGGATAAAAAGGTCGCCATCCAAAACTGGCAACGATGAAACTTACCGTTGATGGTATTGCTGAAAGCTTATTTTGGTCGACATTCAAATTCTTCAGGTTCTTCAAATTCCCAATAGAGGACGGTAACTCCTAAGAGACATCACAGTTGCAGAAAATCGAGTAGCAAGATCGTTCTCAACTTACTTGCAGCAAGTTATGAGTAAGGAACAATTCAGCTAGTTGCTCGCAACTTCCAATTGACTGAGTAAGGTGATGGATGTGGTTCTTCTCCAGCTTCAAGATGGTCAACTTCTTCAATCGCCCTTGAATAAGTAAGTATTTGCAAAAGTAAACGACGCCAAGACAAAGTTCAGATAATGGATGCCATGGTAAACTAGGCAGAATGAAAAAAAAATGTATTGTCAATGTCAGAGACCGAAAATGCAAAAAAATCTATCTTTTACAAAATCAGAAAACGAAAGTGCAGATGCGAACTGTGCGCTGCAAGAAGAACCAGACAGCGGCGTTAGCATGATGGCGCACATTCCACCGCAAGTACACCACCGAGATTAAGATCTCACCTATGGAATTGGGGATGGTTTGCAGCTCGTTGTCAGCGAGGTTAACATCAGTCAATTGAGAAAGATCCCCGATTTCCTCAGGTAAGCAAGAAAGCCGGTTCTCGCTTGCATCTAAAACCTTATATTAGCAAGACATAAAATACATCCAAGCAAACGTACCCAGCTGCTCAAGGTAAGTGCACTTTGTTAGCTGTTCAGGAAGAGCTTCCAGGTCGTTCGAGTCGACGTACAATTCCCGCAAGGACTCCAAGGAACCCAGCTCCGCAGGCTAACAAGCAAGTAAAAGAAAAACCTTATGAGTCAAAATTACCACTTACCAGCTGATCGAGCTCGTTTTGGCCGAGGTCAATAACTTGCAAGTTCTTCATATGCGTTATGCTAGCAGGCAATGTTCGGATAAGGTTGTCCCGAGCTTCCAACGAACGAAGATTAACCAGCTGTCCTATGTCAACTGGAAGCTGGGTTAGCGACACATCATTTAACCCTAGATGTGTGAGAGAAACGCAGTGCGCTATCGTATCCGGTAACCTGCAAAGACCTATTATGATCAAGAAAACGGAAAATTCATCACTCACCTTGTAATCGGATTTGAGCTAAGATCCAAAACCATGAGCAGTTTACACTCTTTCAGCTGTTCTGGCAAGTCAGATATATCTGAAAACGGAACTAAAGCGCTCGAAGTAAACAATACACTATACAGACCATTTCTACTGAGATTGAGCTCTACGAGATTGGATAAGGAAGCAATTTCAGGGGGAACGCAGAAAATGTCATTATCGCTGAGATCCAGTAAACGAAGCTTCGTGAGTCGGAAGAGTGTCTGGAAAAGAAAAATACACATGGACACAACGCAAACATTCGTAAAAAAA